ATAAATTTCACAAATATTTATTCGGTACCTACTATGTATGCCAGACATAATGCTAAGCAGTAAGCATCAAATATGGCAATATTTTTTAATGTTATCTATTCACATAGTTTAAAGTTATCATCAAATGCTCAGTAAATATAAACATATATTTATTACCGGAAAGTTATAAGCACAGTTCTTCCGTACTGAAATATATTTCTTCTCCTGCTCTAGGACTTGAGGTGGAACCTGGTTTTCATTGTGTCCATTTTCTTGTTGCAAACCCAATGTACAAAGTTTCTTATAAAACTCCAAAAATCTCAAGTGTTGATCTGGAGTAAAAATTCCTAAAACAAATGTAAAACCTGTGTTAGACATTTCAATTGAAAACAAAAATTTAAAAAAGAAAATCAAAGTACAATAAAAACATAATTGAAACCAAATATTTAAGTAAATGGTTACAAATAGTTCATAAAAGGAATGAGGAAACAGTAGCTATCATGAAGAAATCTAGCAGGTCATATTGTTTCACCTTATCCTAATTTTAATAACATTTTAATTTTAATTTCAAAAGTATGACCTATATAATGCAGGAATTATGCCTGCATAAATTTCTGTAGCATGTATCATACTGTAGACTAGGGGTCCTCAACCTATGGTGAGTTGTATAATTATTTCATTATATATTACAATGTAATAATAATAGAAATAAAGTGAACAATAAATGTCACATGCTTGAATCATCCCAAAACCATCCCCTTCCCCAGTCTGTAGAAAAATAGTCTTCCATGAAAATCATCCCTGGTGCCAAAAAGGCTGGAGACCACTGCTGTAGACCACTAACAAGTCATTATAACAATAACCTTGTGGCTTTTATACATATTGCTATTTACTTATAGTAAACATTCTAAAATTGCTTGCAGAGAAGATGTGTGTATCTGAAGAGAAGGAGCTTAAAAATTGAATCTGAAAGATAGCACAGTAAATTGAAAATCATGGTTCCACATTCATTGTCTATCTCAGGGAACTAGAACTCATAATATATTGCTACTAAATACCTGCAATCCACATAAAGAAAATATATTACTATGCTAGATATTTATAACTTAATTCTCACATTATTATAGTAAGCTAAGAACTAAGTAACATGTTCAAAATGCCAAGAGTTGTGGTATTATTCTACATTATAAACTGAACTTCTCACATAATATATTAATTATTCAACAAATTGTTAAAATGGTTAATAAGGTTATACTTATTATGCACCAATAGTTAGTATACCTGAGCTTCTGTTATCTCATAGCAACTAATATATTAGTTTAAAATATTCAGACGTTTAAAGGGCTATGCTTACTTAACTCTGTCATTGTTCTTTCAAATAGGTTCTGTTAGCAAAAAAAGTATTCCTAATGCTCTAAATTATGCTATTAAAATTCTAAGATCTCGTAAGATTTTACACACTTAAAATATGTTTTACAAGTGAAGTGCTGAAGTTTAGTGGCTAAGACACAAAAAAAGGAAAAAGAAAATCTACAATTTTAAAATTCTTAGGATATATCATACCATATAGTCCATAGCATAGTTTTCCAAAATGGAAAGATAAAGAAATAAGAATTGATTCATCTGCTTTGAAAGATTTTTCACAAAATGATTTCACTAACGGAAGTATAGTTTGACTTCTGTCATCTGGAAAGCAAAGCAAAATAATACATACTTTAGATCTAGTTGCCACACTGCACATGTGAAAACTAATACACATATAAAAATTTCAGACAGAAAAATTACTATCTTAGCCTCATAGCAATAGAAAATATCCAAAAACAATGATGAATGGAGGTACGTGGTGAAGAAGGGGTAAAAGGAAGGTTAAAATGACCAAAAACTTCAATGCCAGGAAGGGCTTTTGACTTCCTGTGTGGGCCAATGGGAATAGAATATAAAGAGTGATTACAAATTAGAAAGCTAGGATGGCTGAGGTTTTGAGTCTGAAAACATAAGTAGAAAGTCTAATATTGTATAAATAGTGCATTTGCAAACTCCAATCTTATGTAATCCTCTCTGGAGACCACTAATCTAACAAATACACATGTGCACGGTAACCATGCCTGAAGAATCAGTCAATGTATCTTTAAGATGAATATCCTGCTTAGTTGTCTAGAGCCCTCTTCCCTCTCCCCTCATCCAAAATCAGATTTCTAGAAGTATATTTATAAGGATGATACAATTGTACAATACTGGAATTATTTTAAGTAATTTTACCTTAATTTAAAGTGAATATTTCCTAGATTTTGTACAATGAATACATATTTCATTCACACCAGAAAGAGTTCTCTTTTAAAGAAGCAAAGACTATCCCAACAGCCAAAAGAATCTTAAGTAACATTTACAATGATGCTATGGATATCCTCCACGCTTTCAGCTAATCTAACAGTGTCTTGACAGTGCAAGGAAAGGATGAAATATTCTCATTGAGAGTAAGAATTTATTACATCACTTATAGAGAAAGGAAATATTTTATTATGCCACTTATAAAGATATTTTTATGTGACAGTTTTGAAGTTAACAAGTTATAGCTTATACATATTTACTGCAACTATAGCATACATGTGCTCATTGCGATCATCCAGGAAGCATGTCCTAAATTTCAACTTCAAGGGCTAAAAAGTTAATCACATTCATCATAAAATTTTAAATTCACTTTTGCTCTTATTTTACAGAGAGTCATAACAGCAGAATCTAAAAGCTATGCTCAAGAAACACCATCCATTTGCAGAGAAAACAATTAAATGTGTCTCAACTTTCCATTTGTTCTGAAGTGCTTAAGTTTAGATGCAAAGTATAAATACTATAAAGCATATAAAAACTGATTTTATTACCCAAACTACATCACCCATATCTACCACAATGTCTGGCTTAAAGTAAGCATTTGGTATAGATATGCTGAATGAATGGGTTAACAAAAGAATAAATGAATATAATGTATTTATGGAAATGGAGTCTGTAAACATACTAAAAAGAGAAGAAAATTATGTGAATTTTAAAATAAGATTTAAGTCTAGAACATGGAAGATACAGAGTATATCTTATAATAAACTTATAAACAGAAGTACACAAAATATCAAAAACTCATCTAGCACATGTAAGTATAATTAACAATAAATGTAAAGTGGTATCAATTCTTCAGACTTACTTCATAAAAGCAAATAGCAATAGTGTATCTGACTGGTACTTCAGGGTCATGACAAAGGCAGAAGAATGTAGAATAGAGTTCCATGTGGAAGTTTTTAGGATCAACAAAAACAATCATGGCCTGGTGGAGGTGGAAGGGAAGAAATGAGTGGGAAGGAGAGATAAACATGCATCAATACCTAACATTATAATCATTTCACTTAAATTGAAATCATGTTCTCTGAATTGTAATTTAATTAGAAATCATATTTGGAAGATCCAAATGCATGCATATAATTCTGATTTATAGAGAGAAATATAAATTTCACAAA